ACGTAAAAATTGAAAGTGACTCGATAACTTTATAAAAGTGACTCGATAACTATTGTGAAATCGGAGGGTCATCCGACTTCTATGTACTAATTTTAATTTTAAATTGTAAAGAAGTTAAAACGCGATGTACAAGAAAACCCTGACCTGAGCTAATAAATATAATAAACGGTTTGTACGAATTTTACACGATCGTACAGTCGTGGTCACTATGCTCGCTCAAAAATATAAAATACAACCAGTTCCCGTGTCGCTTCGGACCATTCGTCCTACGACATGATGGGAACCGGAGGAACCATAAAGCATGCGACTCACCGATCGCTGACTTGCATCACTGTGATCGCATCTTTCAGGTTGACTCGTTGCATATCGTAACACGTCCCACAGACTGCTTGGCTACGTCAACGCATCGTTAGAGAGTGACCCTTGATCGCTTGGTTGTTCTCGATTTGTCAGAATTACGCACTTTGTCCTGCTGGTCCACAAGAATGGCCTTCTGGAAGCACACAGAATCACAGCGATTAATAAACTGTTCGATTTGCATTTAAAATAATTTTTCAACATAGACAAATTTATTTAAGCATGCAATAAATATTTTGTAACTATCATACACAAGGGAATTCAAAAATACGCATGCAAAATTACTTAGGAATTGCACTACACAATTGACAATAAATTCGCAAATTTGTTTTAAAATGGGTAGGTAACTACGTTATACAACAAGAGAACACTTCAAAAAATTTGACATGCATTGGTAACTGTTGTATAAAATAAGTTATAATATTATCAAACGTAGGTAACCACACCACAGAAATTCAAAAAAATTTTGTAATGGTATTCTAAAACACGTAGGTAACTACACCACACAAGGTAAAACGTTTAAAATATCATGCTAGGATACGTTGGTAACTACACCATACAATTCACTAAAACACTTGTAAGGGTATGCCATAACACATAGGTAACCACACCATAAAATGCACTAAAACACTTGTAAGCATACACCGGAACACATAGGTAACTACGCAGTAAAATGCACTAAAACACTTGTAAGGTATCCCGCAACACATAGGTAACCACACCATAAAATGCATTAAATCACTAGTAAACGTATGGTAAAACCCATAAAACACCACACCATAAGATGCACTAATATATCCGTATACACTTGCACAATTATATGTAGTAACACAGTAGTAAACACTTTGACACATGGCGAATAATTCCACAAAACGTATTAATACACCCGCGTAATTATTAAAAAATGCACGATAAAACACACTAAACACTTGTACAAGCACACTAGGTAACACAGGGAACAGCACAGTATCGATAATCCGAATCAATGACCCGTACCGGTATGACAGGTAGAAGCTGATCCGAACGCCTTGACCGACAGAATAGGACTGAGCGCGACGACCTCTAACAAGTACAAGCAGGTAATACGATTGGTCGATCGCGATACCCAATCAGGGTAACCCACCAATGGGGGTGTAGGTACATTACCTGCATACGGCATAGTGACATGTACATCGAAATTTTTAATTTTGCAGTTATTTTTTAATAATTTATTATTATAACAATTAAAATTTATAACTTTTTTTAACTTTTACTGTAAATATTATTGCGAATTGTACATTTTTAGGGTACAATTTTTAATGTTAATTTTAATTTTATTTTTAAATTTATAAAAATTGTTTGTTATAATATTATTGTAATTAACGAAGTTTATTTTTTTTCTATGACCTTTTCTGCATGTACGTTGTGCATACGTTTCTAAATTTTTGCAAATCATTACTGAGTTGTATTTGTTGATAATTTTACGATTTTTTATTTGTTACTAAATTATTGAAGTATTACTCCTCTGAAATTTATCATTTTTATGATTTTTACGTATGTACATGCTACAAAAGTTTTTTAAATTATTATTATTCAACTTTATGTGTTTTAATTCTTAATTTTACAATTATTTATCAATTAAATTATTATTGTATCTATTGAAATTTATTATTTTTGCAACTTTGTCATTGCAAAATTTTTTATGAATTACAGTTCTAGTCGATATTCTTACAGATACATTTAGGATATTACCTTCTGCAGAATTTTTATTATCGTTCGAAGGTAATAGCTGCTTCGATCAAGCAGATTATTGCTTTACCTACTGAAAACAATAATTAAATTTGCACTAGTTGATAAACTTCTTAATTGTAGGTCAGTTTCCTGGCCTTGTCATACATTTTAATTGGGTCAAAAGGTATTGGAAGACTCCTTAATGTATTATGCTGAATCACTTTAATCGATACGTCTTTTTAAGACGTACAAAGAAAGTAAATTTCTATTTCCTCGATATTGAAGAAGCAAAGGATCTTTATGGGACCATTCTAGTCACCATTGAACATCAATGTAATTTAAATAGGTGTTAAATTCTTGTTTAGTATCCTATTTTCTTCTCTTTATTGCTTCTTCATCTTCTCTTGACATACAAATTCTTCCATCGACAACTACACAAATTATTTTGGTACAGTTGTAAAAATATTTTATCAGTTTTGAATTAAATTGGTAAATTTGCAGAAGGTATATGGTGGTGTGAAGAGTATGACTATTCCTATTAGAACGCTAGTAATAAATCTAGGGGACTACCCCATGAAAAAATTCTAATTACGTCAATGGATGCACCCTCTGTTTCCTGCAAACGGTTTCATCCGGCAGTCTATTCATAAATGGAATAGGATATCTTACACCTAACTATTCAACGGAATTATGGTCTGTCTGGACCTAGAGGTAATTGCAAGGTTTGTTGAGAATTGGAAAATTGCTACGTTGAATAGAATTGTGCAAAGGTCTCTCGGGGCCCGTAGCTATTTACCGTTCTAATTGCGCTCTATCATCGATACACTGCGATAAGAATCGCTATATAGAAGTCATCAAGTAGACCCTTCGTTCGAACAGTGATAGGCTTTAAACTGGAACGAAAAAGAATATAATTATGACAAAATAATTAGTTTAAAATAAAAATAGTTTGTCTCAAAGATACAAAGTTAGTACAACCAATGTGAACGTACAACCAAGTCCTTAAATTCGTTAATAAAAAGAAGTATGTTTTCGAGATAAAGTCTTGTAGAGTGTTCCTCTCGGCGAGACACTTGAATGGGGCAAAATTGAAAGATGCAATTTCGTTTCTCGGCTAACTTCTAGCGTCGTGTTAGACGGTAAATCGTATTAGAGTATCCAGTTAATCCACAGTGTGTCCGCGATGACACGATACCCTGGTTTCTAGCACTTCGATTCGCCAGGAGAAAAGCAGCGTGTCATCAATGACGTAGATCGCCTTGGTATTGATTGTGTGACGTCATGAAGACCTCCTACGCAACGAGCTCCAAATTCGCAAATTGTTTCGATACAAACTCAACAGAAAGAATTTTCATATCAGAAATTAGAAATATTAAACTCGAGTTTCATACTCAACGTCATATAAAGGCAGAGAAAGTCTCGTTCACGATTTTCCATTCACTATTTTTCCTTCTTCCCATAAGAAAGATAGATTTTTATGTGGTTTCCTAGCTCAAGGAATGCTTCATTAAACATGTAAATGCATCGCGGTATCAATCCTTCAACCTTCGTGTGGTAGAATTTCTTATGTTGTGCGATAAACGTAATTGCTATGTACATTTTTTGCCGCGTTCTTGCAAATTTACACGTTCTCCAATGACTTAAATTACTGGCGATTATAGGGAACACAATATTCGAAGAGTGGCGAACGATTTGTTCAGTGTGTAAGGTAATTCACGAAGCACGATGTCTGCTAAGCAATTTTACAAATGATTATTGCTTTTGTAATTCTTTCCTTTCTTTCTACTTTCGCATTGTCTCTGTAGGTTCTCCTTACGTTGTTACAATCTTTATTTTCTAAGTCCTACATCCCTCTATCTCTAGCTGGCTCACATCAAGCACCTGAAAATAGATACAAAAGTATTAATTATCAAAACTGATAGATAAAATTAGGATTATGAGTGTGAGGGATTAATTTATGCTCCGGCAGAATACCGCAACGGAAGGACAAAAGAGAACACGCACCTGGGCCGACCTGCGAAGGACTTTCGAGGGATGAAAACCGATTCGTTGTTTTTTTTTATGGGGAGATGATCTTTCACCCCTTCATACCAGGTTCTTACGCTTTGTCCAACTTGTTGAAGTTCTTAGAGCAGGACCAGCTGCGGGACCTTTTGTTCCGCGACGAACGAGTTCCCGTTCTCTGTATAGTCCACGTGCAACCTTGAATTTTGATCTTCCTTTTGCTATAAAAATTAAGCGCTCCAAGGCAGCGGTAATATTTGCAATGTAAAATTGTACATGAATTCGTAACTAATACCGATAAACAATTCAGAGATACCTATGCAATCAAATTTAGTATTTTGTGTCGATTAGATTGGAATGGAGTTGTAAATCAATGGAATATAATACTGTATGGTAAGTATTTTGAGGATTACATATTTTATGCAATCGCTTCTACACTCGACGCGGTTATTACAAAAATTATATTTTGAAACTCTCGCATTTGCGTTACAAAATTACCAACTTTCAAGTCGAGATTAATGTATGATAAGTTAAAAAATATTTGAGTGCAAAAATGCGGGTACTTTCGAATCGTGAATCAATTTAGAGCATTTTGAAATTAAGATTTTTGTGATTTTGCGATTTTGAAGATCGCGGAGTTTCTCCGATACCGAAGGAAAATAAAAATACCAGATAGTCGGGCAACGTGCAAGCCATATCTATAATTATCACGAAAGTTACGAACACTTTTGACAGAGCGAAGCCACCGCACGGTAAATATTTCATTGTAGAGAAACGTAAGAGGGTCATCGGGAGTAATTGGAGGAACAAGATCATGCAGTCCTTGAATAATCTACGTACACATATATACTTCGTCTACATATACATACTCCGTGTAAGGGCTGCACAATCTTCCAGTATATTTCCTTCAACAACAATATTGATCTACAATGCTTGACTATTCCAGATTTCATACTCATCTAAATAAGGAAATGCAAATGGATATTACAGGTTCGAAGTGTTATTATTTATGAAATGATTTACCAAAGATTACGGATGAGTCACTGTTCTCGCGAGCAATCACTTTTAATTGAACGGAACTTCCTGGGATGGCCGTTTGCGTACATCAGATCGAAGAAAAAGAACCTGCGAGTGGAAGTTGGATAAGAAAAATCTTGGGAAAGCACGTACCATTTTATAACGACCTACCGTTTTCCTCCTTTCAAGGAACTTCTAGTTATCGTTATCTTAGATTGCGTTAATCTTGCATCAACCGGTGTTTCCTCCTACCGTTCACGTTGGACGTCAGTAATATTCATTCATAAATTTGTTAGCTTTTATTATTCACATCTCGTTCAATAATTCTTCAGTCACCTGTAATGATTCATTATTCATTATTCACTATTCATTAGCTTGATTTGTATATTTTGAGATATAGGGACTTTGAGATTTGGGGATTTAGAAATTCTCAAGTTCCCAAATTTCCAAGTCCCAAAATCCCCTAACCTCTCAATTCCAAAACTCTCAAATCCCCGAACTCCTAACCTCCAAATCACCAAATCCCCAACGCTCAATTCCCCAAACCCCAAAATTCCAAACTCCCAATTCCCCAATTCGTAAACTTTCAAACAAATTTGTTCCGCCGTGCGAAAGGGTAATACGATTACGTCGGTGTTCAAAGCACAGCTGATGCCACGATCGATGCAATTTTGAGAACGAGGTAATTGATCGATCGATCCAAAGTTATTATTTCACCACAACGTGCCTCAAAGCGAATTAATCGATCAAGACCGGTTAAAAATTGTTTAAGCATGAAACATGGCTTTAATGGACAGTAACTAGTTTTATCATTACATCATTGCTGGCTTTTGCACGATTAAGATCATGGGTTAACCTATACTTAATCATTACAACTCCAATTATGCTAAAATACTAAAATCATACTCCATTTTCACGTTGACACCTTCGAGAAGAGCGGCTTTGTTCATATAAATCATCGTATTATACCGGCTCAGAACCGTTGCTCATTAAACTACGCCGTGAACATTAATTATCTATACAATATTAACATTTATTGATAACCAGGTGGCTGATAGACTAATCGATAACGTCTGGGGGTAGCATGAGCCACTTCACATGCATTTACGCGTATGCTGGTATAGATATGCATTGAAACTCTCGATGAACGTGTTTTATATACGACACAAAGCAGTCTGATCAAGTTACACGTACGTATATATACATATCATTACCTGTTCACTTGTTTTTTGTCATTAACAATTCAACGATAGCAACTTTGTTGGCATTGTAAGTCATCACGGATCACAGCACATGAAATATCAAATACTGAGATTCGAATTTGTGTACTTCATCTTTTCTCCCGCCAAAAATGTCTGCGTCAATAGGTCCACTGTGAGTTTCCCGCCAAATTTCAATCTGCAAACGCGTGCAATTCTAACATTCAGATAATTATATTAGGATCAGCTTATGACAGAATTAAGACAAGTTTAGTTAAAATAAATTAATATCAGGTTATGTTTTAATAGTTCTACTTAAACCTGAAGTATAATTTACCATAACTGCCAGGAGGAATCGACTCGAACGATTAAGTTACAGAGTGTATCATACTTCGATCGCTCAACGATGTATTATGGATGTCATCGATGCGTCGATAATTATCGAAAATATTTGTATAACAGTACGATGTAATGTGTTAAAAAGTGTTTGATTTTCTCCATACGGTGTTTTAGCTACCCATCACTGCGCAGAACACAATCCCGTACAGCGACAGACGAAAAGGAGGGACGGAGAAAGAGCCGACGACATGCGCCGGTCCTCGTTGCTTCACGTTTATAATGCGCGAAGCCCACGAACGGAGCGGAACGTTCGACGACGGTCATTCAGAGCTCGACCAGTGTGCTGCACGTTTCGTGGCTCCTCCACGTCCTTGTTGTTCTGTCGTGTTCACGGTTGCATCCGCCCTGTCTAAGTTGCTCGCGAGTGCCGAACCCGGGGATCGACGAGAAAAGGAGAACGATGCTCTGAGGGTGGACACCGTGTCGACGACGCTGGACTCTCCGGTGAATTTTCTTCCGTGATTCGTCGGCCAGTGACAAATTTCGCCGCTTCGTCTCGTTTACAACGAACCATCCACTTTCGCGGGATACAACTGTACTAGGTGAGTGATGCAATCCTTCGTTTTCATGCACGTGTGATGCTTCCCATCCGGCATTCGAGACGCGCTTAATTATTGACAATGTTGAATGAAAAGATCGAACGTGAACGATTGTAAACATCGAGATGATGGGATTAAGTAATCGGATGTTCGATAGGATCGAATCGATTCGATAATGTCATAAATTGTACTCGCGCGAGTCGCGATATCGTGCACGAGTTACATTTCAGGAAATCTTCACGTAATAATACATTGCGTTGATGCTTTTTCTTTAATAATTTATCGCTGCTGCGATTGATACGGAAATCGTGTCGAATTATGTGCTGATTCAGGTGTTCTGATGAAACGAAAATAACCTTATCTCTGCAGGTTCGTTTTTATAAATGATTCTGTTATTACATGGAGAGCTTGTTAAATAATTAGTCGATGATTATGTAGAATTGTAGGGTGAGCGTTGAACGAAAACTGGGTACAGAAAACCCGGTCGGCGACCCACGTGGCCTATTGATTTTCTTGCCCACCACGCCGCTACGTTCACGGTGGTGAAAACTGGCCTTTTCTCCAGCCGTTACCGTACCCTACAAATATTGCAATTGTTTCGATATGAAAATCATCGAACGCACAGTTTATTTTTCACCGAATCGCCACTTTTTATGTTAATAGCATGCACAGAAAATAATTGAAGTAATGTATGTTTTTAATTTACTATTTTATTGTTTGATACGTTTAAGGGTGCTATGTACGTTAACGGTTATGTTTAGGGGGGACGATTCATCATTCTAGCGTTACAAAATACACTTTGTCCCTTATGGCAACGATTGGTCGCTTTCCTGCAAACGGATCGATAACACATTCCCGGCAAGGATTTGAAAACGTTAGTTACCTTTTGTGACAGGTATATCATGTCCTAGAATATCTATGCGATTATCTACTAGCTATTGTATCGAAGATGTGGGCTCATTTTGACCCAGTTAACAGTATGTATGTCCTTTAACTTTTTTATTAAATATTTAGCAATATTTAATTTTACTAAAATTTCAATTTAGATATTATTAAATATTTTGTTGAGATTCTAAAATTTCAGATAAATATAACATCTACTGTGCAATTAAGTTTGTACCTGATGATTAGAAAATTCTTTTCCAAAATTATGAAAGTAACAATTGACTTTTATTTATGTTAGGTGAAGGGATTGACAAACCTTTGTAAATGTCTGAAGTACAGGTTTCGTTACCGTTAGACGGTGTGCAGAGACGTCGGTACGGGATCAATAAAAACTGACGTAATGTTCCAGGAAAGTTTCGGCAGTCTCGAACTCGTCGGAATTTCGTACACGTGCACAGGAATAACCTTTTTTACGGGGACACCCATCTTTTCTATATAGTTTTGTCATCCACTATCTGTCTCAACTCGAACAGATAAAATGTAAAGATGTTTACATTAATACAAGGATTTATTTGCATACAAACTATCGTGATGAATAAATAATTAACGAGGCTTTTATTCATTTTTTAGCAACGCTGATATTTTTTATATTCCAAAAGAAGGACGAACCGATAAACATATGCAGCTACAAATTTCCTTTCACTCGTTTAAAAATCTTCTTCGGTTTTTAATAACTCGCATGGTAAAGAAATATTGAACAGCATATGTAACAATTAACGGTAAAGAAATTTCTCTCATTAATATTCATTTTTTTACAGAGACAAATTGAAGGTTATCTTTAGTGATATGGAATCGCGTATTTAACGCACGATAATAACACTTTGACGTGTAGGATGTGTTGACATGTAAGTTAAAGGAGTTAGGTTCATAGGCCTCCTTTGATCAGGGTGTCATTTATGAACCACAATTTATTTTGAAAATCACAGGTTCTGAAAATGCAAAGCTTTAAAGAATTCCAAAGTTCCAAAATTAAAAAGCTTTAAATCTCTATCCAAAATTAGCTCTCTACTATTAGGTCGGGACTCATACTTTGAGAATCTCTGCCTCAGATCGATCGTGATGATAACGCGAAAAAGAAGTTGAACGAATGAAGGAAAGTAGGCACAATGCATCCTCGCGTATATTGTGGTACGAAGACAGGTTTGAAGCAGTACGAGTGCCAGACTTGTCGCATTAGTAGCGCGAATTAAAGAGGGTCGCTAGCGAGTTCTCTTCAGTGTGCGTTCGAATATAAAACTATCGAAGATTTATCTCGATTAGTATTTAATATTAGAAGAATATACAAGAATCTTCTGTTCATTGGACTCCACACAAAATACACTTTCACGTTCATTTTGCTGATGGCAAAATTTTTGCACAACGCATTGTTTCGACCTCAGAACATGAGATGCGAAGAAATTGTATATCATATTACTGAAATGCAGCACTATGTGTGATTGTGACACCGAGGCCCACGTGCGTATACTCGCTATGATTGCTCCTTTCGAGCTGGATGATCGATCGTGGATTTCAGAGGATATCGCTTGCGTTACGACTCGACAAGTAGTCAATCGTTTTGAAATATCTATTTGAGTGAATATATTTAATCTACGGAATACATTTACGGATATGTACGTTACGATAGCGAGACGCTGAATAAATACTGGTGGATTTATCGAATTTCAGCCTTATCGACACTATGAGTTCTTCCAAATTTTCAGGAATTATCTCGAGTGATATCCTGTCTTTTTTATTTACAGTAGCAGAGATACTTTTTTATCGTTACCTGTAAATCCTTAAATGAGCACATTGGTAATTCTATCTATTTAGCTTTATGTTCAGATACGTATTTTTTAAATCAAGGAAATTATAGTATTTAGATATTCAATTACAAGATAAGAAAGTATTTCCAACCGTTCAACAATGTATATTTCGATAACGCCGGTAATTTACGCATCATTTATTCGTCATTGCTCTGTCGAAAGATCGTAACGCAAGAAACGACAAATTATGTTAAAATGAAGCAACGTCCGGATATATCTGAGACCGACGTAAAACATACGATTACTTGAAATTGAGTCACGGCAATAGCACAACAATTCTATCGACGCTAACGAAAGCTTTCAGTTGATCAGAACCTCTAATTCGTGAAAGTGTCTTTCGTTGTGTAAATGCAGAAAATTCGCTCGAAAACCTTACCGATCTCTTCTCCTCGTAAATCGGTCAGGTTACAAAATGCGCACCTCAGCCTAGTTGGATGTGATTACATCTGTTGCCCCATGTTGCGTGTAAATAGGAGCAGTACCGTCATCGTTCAGCCATTGCTCGATCGTCCTATCAATCGTGTTGTTGGATCTTAAATCTTGTTTACGTTTCTCCTTTGGAAAAGAGTATCCTTTGAACATTTACGACGACTTATGTTACGTGTTTCGAGCGTGTGCTATCGGTCGATAATTTCACGAGATCAATAGGACAGGATTATTGGAACAAGGATATTCAAGATGCGATACACGTACGGGACATTTGGTATGTGATAACATCATGGGGATTTAGATCGATTTTATTGTTGTACCAGTGAAATAACCTGCAATATCAAGATCAGTAAAGTCACAAATGGAAGACAATTTACTCTAAATGTTTCGCTTCGCAATTCGAACATTTTTATTCTGAATTTCACTGTTTTAAGAGTGTTACTCTTTGAAATGCGACTCATTCGGAGTTTGTTATTACGTATTCTACTGTTACTCGTCCGAATACAATTCATTTAAGGGCTACTCGTCTGGCTACTTGTTCTGGTGCTATTCACTCGAGTGCAATTTCCTCGAGTACTATTCATTCGAACGAACAGCACTCCAATTAGTAGCATTCGGATAAACAGAACTCGAATCAGTAGCATTGATAAGCACTCGAACAAGTATTAAGAAGAAGTTTAAGTCCGTTATATCTTCACCAACAGGAAAACAGCAGATAAAAGGATAGCTAGTTGAAAATTTTCCTCTTAATTGATCATGCTACCTTCGTTTTCACCCGTAAATGTTTCATGTTAATACCTTGTCTGACAGTGAGTTATCCGAGTCGTCAATCACGAAGCCTTGAGTGAAACCTTTGCTAAATGAAAAGTTCAAACGTAGACTCGTTAATGAAACTTGACCTGCATCGACCTATTACACCTTTCGTCACAGGTGTTTATTAATTATTATCATTCATAACATTTCCATTATGTTGCTGTCCATTTTGAAATGCAAACTATGGTCGTCCTCACATCCCTCATTTATCTTTGCCACTGGCGTAATTATGTGGCGGCGAATGACGATCTAATGCGGGGTGATATAACGCTTAGGGAATTTTGCGGGTTGTGATGCAATACGTAGAAAATCTGATACGTGGCAATATAACACGTGACAATGTAACGCGTGGTGATATAATTAATAGGGAATCTATTGTTTAGTAGGATATCTATTGTATGATATATAGCGGTGCTACAGCGTGTAGAGAATCTGATGCGTGGCGATATAACGCGTGGTGATGTATTCGCATTAGGAATCTAATGTGCGGCGGTACCACGCATAGAGAATTTAACGCGAGGCGATATAACGCGTGGTGGTACCACGCGTGGGAAATCTAATGCGTGGTAATACCACGCGTGGCGATATAATGCGTGGTGGTACCACGCGTGGGAAATCTAATGCGTGGTAATACCACGCGTAGGGAATTTAATGCGTGGTGGTACCACGCGTAGGAAATTTAATGCGTGGTAATACCACGCGTGGCAATATAATGCGTGGTGATACCACGCGTGGGAAATCTAATGCGTGGTAATACCACGCGTAGGGAATTTAACGCGTGGCGATATAATGCGTGGTAGTACTACGCGTAGGAAATCTAATGCGTGGTAATACCACGCGTGGTAATATAACGCGTGGCGATATAACGCGTGGTGATACAATTCATACGGAATCCAACGCTCGGTGAAACAACGCGCAGAGAATTTAACGCGTGACATAACTCAAGCGGATACAGTCCGCAGAATCTACCGCGTGGTGATATAACGCATGGCGAATTTATCACGTGGAGAAGCGTAACAAATCCGGTAGCGCGTAGCAAATCATACGCGATACAATGTAGCAACAAGTGATTTAACACTCAACTGTTATACCAATGCTTTTTCCACGAATGAATCCTAGCTGTCAAAGCAGCAATAAATCACATGCAGCTCTTTTAGCATTAACATTCACCTGCTTCTCTCCAGATATTTAACCAGTTGGCATTCGTTATTAAGCAATTTGGAAATTTATGGAATCCGGTGGATAAGTGGCAGTTAACGAATCGGAGATTAAAGAACAGGTTTGCTACACGAACATGTGCACCAGGTGATAGAAAGGTGTGTATCAATATTCGTGGACACGATTGGTTGATACGATTCCTGGAATCGAAAGAGGGAGAGGTACTCCTTCGGGAACAACGATAGGCTCGATATTGTTGGACGACCAGTGTATCGGTAGCTATGGACGAAACGTGGATCTTTGTCAAATTGTGACGTGGTATGTGGATTAATTATGGCAAACGTAACCCTAACGTATAAAATGATTCAATGATTTTATAATATAGTAAGCTTGTGGGTTCAAAGTGCAATGTGAATGTTCTTTAATTTAATTCATGCAATTTCTACGATTACTGTGACGATGTAGTGTTCTGTACATTTGGTTTTTATTTGCGAACATATTCTAACAACATGATTTTATTGATTCAAATTTGGTACCATTATTGCATCAGATTTGATCTGTTACAGATTTCCTTCCATTCAGATTTGGTCCCATTTCAAACAATCCAGAACTCTCCTCACACGAACCACTCTGTCCACTCCTCACTCGAAACAAGATAGCAAGACAGCACAATAGTGGAATTTCTACAGCGACCATGAAATAATTCAAACGCCTCAAGAGCTTAAACATTAAAACTAATGTTTGTTCAATTATCGCAAATTCACGAAGAAAAACTCCCTCGGCCTTCAGATCGAATTTGCATTCAGAAACACGTGAGACAATCATTCATCAGAATTCTGAAAGAGAACGTAAATCTCTGTCTCTCCAAGGATTAGTTCGTTATTTATGTTCCACTTTCCTTATTTCGTAGCGATCGGTATCAGAGAATTAGGTGGGCAAGGTACAGATGCATATGTCCCTTCTTTCACCGATCACACGTAAAACGTGCACATACGTAACGCGATCGAACGTGACTTTGCGTCATTGCGAATTTTTTTCCGATCTGCACACTCCTTCCTCGAGATCGAAATCGACCAATGGGACTCGAGAACGTCGACACACGCCTTTCGATCGGTTCGCTGACTTTTACGATCGTTAATGATCGTTTACATACCGGATATTCTAGAAGTATGTACCGGATTCTGCGTTTCTTGATAGATTATTAATTATGTCTTGTCACTAGCGCCGTGTTCTTATTCGACGAAGAAGTCGAGTATCGTAGGAGTAGTTGTAGACGTAGAACCTTGATGTAGAAGATCGAAGAAGGCAGAAAAAATTTGAAGCAAGATCAAATCTTATAGAGTTTGTCTTACAAATAAACTACGTAGTATATTAATTACAAAAATCACACAAAATTTAAGTATCTCAGCTTCATAGTTTGAAGACAGAAAAAATTTGAAGCAAGATCAAATCTTATAGAGTTTGTCTTACAAATAAACTACGTGGTACATTAATTACAAAAATCATACAAAATTTAAGTATCTCAGCTTCATAGTTTGAAGACAGAAAAAATTTAAAGCAAGATCAAATCTTATAGAGTTTGTCTTACAAATAAACTACGTGGTATATTAATTACAAAAATCACACAAAATTTAAGTAACTTAGCTTCATAGTTTGTAGACCTTCAAATCAAAGAGTCCATGGTCTAACAAACTCACAATACAATTTTGTGTACATGTAATTTTTCAAGCTTCAATTAAATCGTACAACTTATAATATCGCTGAGTATTTCCCCTAAAAAAATGATGATCATGAATACAAGTTTGCTGTATATCAAAATATTCCCATTGAAAACGTGACTTGCCTTTCAGCAAAATATACGAAAGAATTGCTTTATCGTTTCGTTATCGAATGCCATCGGTCAAATTTCATTTTTCAGAGACGATTGCGAAAATCTTTTGTAACTCGATAAAAAAGTATCGAGATAATATATGTATATGTATATTATTGTGGTGTATACACTAGGGAATAGGGCGCAAAATAAATGAATTTCATTTGTCTTCTTATCGACGTGGTTGCCCACACTTTGTTACGAAATAAAAGCCTCTGAATCACCGAGGTTCTTCCTTCGCTAAGAAATGCATTATTCAGAGGCTCGATGGAAATTCCTACGAGAGAAGTCGAGCAAAACGACGATAACGAACGAGCATTTCTCTGTAATGAGGCTTTTATCTAATGAATTGAAGAAACACGATGTAAAAAACTACCAAAATATTCCGGCCTTGAACTCGTTGATATTTCGCCGATTCTCGTTTCGAGTTAACTTAATCAACAGGTGTTTTCGATTCGCGAGAAAGCGATTAGCGGATCATTGATAAAAATATTGCATCATAAACTTCAAGGTTCAAACTTTTTATAATTAAGTTGGATTTTTAAAACGTCTACAAAATGAAAAACTTGATAGCACTTTTCTGTTTTGAAAGTCATGTTTAGGCGTTCTGATAAAAGAAGATGATACGTGTAATATCGTACTAATTTCCATTTTTTAAATTTACATATAGGTCTTGCAAAGAAGACCTATATTTCCTTTACTAGTAATGATCTTATTTTTTAACACATTCAGAGGTTAACTTGTTACATGTATTTAACAGAATCATTTATAATTTGTAATATAAAACTATTTCAGAAATTTTAGACGTATGAAAGATAATTATGAAAAAAGTGTATAAAATAATTGGTTCGTGTTACAGGGAGGATGTCGAAGTCGGGTAGCATCAAAGATGGCGAGAAGGGGCCATACGACCCGGTTCCAATCACGGACAAACCGAACGACGAGATCAAACTCGAGGCGAAGATGTCCCTGTTGAACGGAATCACCGTGATCGTCGGCTCCATTATTGGTTCTGGCATATTCGTTAGCCCCACCGGGGTCCTCAAGTACACGGGAAGCGTGAATGCCAGCCTCCTAGTGTGGACAGCTTCCGGCATTTTCTCCACTGTACGTAAAACCCTGTTGCGCAATCGATTCCAGTCGTTGACCCTGCAAACAACTTCGTACTCTCCGGATTCTGCATGCCAGCTTTAATGAAATTCTTCGCTTCTACGTTAACTCATTTCCTTAGATATTAAGCTTTATACAATCAATTATATCAAGCACTATACAATTAATTGTATGTTATAATAATAGGTTTCAAACATGTTATGTAGACTCACTTCATAAACATATTGTAATCAGGATTCATTTTTGAGACATATTGAGACATTATTTGTTAGACATAATATGACTTGAAAGTATCTTTAAGTAACATTGTGTTGTAACAGTTTGAAGATCTAAGTTTGTTCATATTGGTTATAGAAACTCTTCATTCATATTCTTATTGTAAAATGAAGAGTTGTCAGCTATAGACATGTTCACTTTGGAAACATATTATACAAACTCTTTATTTAAATTCTTACTGTAAAATGAAGAGTTGCTAGCTACAAGAAAACATGTTTAATTTTGATGGATGTTATAGAAACTCTTTATTTAAATTCTTACTGTAAAATGAAGAGCTGCTAGTTATAAGGAAACATGTTCAATTGTGATACATGTTATAGAAACTCTCCATTCATATTCTTACTGTAAAATGAAGAGCTGCTAGCAATAAGGAAACATGAACAACTTTGGTACATGTTATACAGACTCCTCATTCATGTTTTTACTGTAAAATGAAGAGTTGCCAGCTATGAAGATATTCACTTTAGAAACAAGTTGTACAACTTCCAACACAATGTCATAACTTAAAAGTATCATAAAGTAATGATTGTATTACATCAATTTAAAGCTACAAACTTACTAAAAGCATCTGTATAAGCCTATCATCTACAATCATTTTTCAAAATGGCTGCCTTTTAGTTAACATAAGAGGTCCAAACCTAAAACACAATTTGATATTATATCAACATAGAGTTTAAAGTACAACAAGTTATGTTGCTCAGTTAAATTATAAATTGCAATATCAAATTGTACATTGCATAAAAGTTGTAATTGTTCACCGTGTATATTTTGAACGTATTTAAGCGAATCACAGTAATAAAGTGCGTTTTATGATCCAACAGGTAGGCGCATATTGTTACGCAGAGCTGGGATGTATGATCAGAAAGTCGGGCGCCGATTACGCGTATATCATGGAGACCTTCGGGCCTTTCCTGGCGTTCATCAGGCTCTGGGTTGAGTGTATGATAGTGCGACCTTGCAGCCAGGCCATCGTGGCCTTGACATTCAGCGTCTACGTACTGAAGCCGGTGTTCCCAGACTGCACGCCACCGGACGATGCCACGAGGATACTCGCTGCGTGCTGCATCTGTGAGTGCATTACATTCGTTAGAAATTCCTTTATTCCCCTACCATAATTGCGTTTCGTTCCGTTTAGAGATTATCCGGCGAATTAAATTTCATTCAGGAGCAACGTCCAATAATAGCAGAAAATAGGCGTTCAGAAGACACCTCTTTGAGAGACAAGAATAAAAATAGGAGGGAAAATAATTCGATTAGACCGTTATGAATGACGACGAACGACCTTTCAATTAAGGTTCTTGGAACACCACGAAAATCTGATGGTCCGATTAAATGAATCAATTAAACGATATCAAGCTTAAGTTTCGTGAGAATCTTGGTCCTCTCGTAATTCAATTTTAGTTCATTCTGCGTATATAAAAGATCAAGATTCTTCAGACGTCTGATTCATGATAGAATTAAAATTAGATCCACAATTTTCTACAATGTTGAATCTCAAAGTTTTACTAGTTGTACAAAGGTGTTTGTATAAAATTTATAGACAGTATTTATAACAACGTTCCAGTGGACTTAATCGCCCCATAAATTCCCTCCGCAAATAAAAAACCGGAGTACCCCGATTCTTGCAGCGGGTTTAAATCGTTCGTCAAGGTTTTAAGCACCTTGCAAACATTCCAGAAATATTCTCGATCTCTCTAGAATTCTTCAGCGTGGGTTCGCCAATATTCTAATGGTCCACAGGATTCTATTCACTTTGTCCTTGGACATAGCTCGTTTTTCATTCTCTTTTTTATGGAAGAAAATCCGACTTCCTTCCCCTATTGTCGCAAATGAAAAACGTGGCTCAGGTTCTTCGAGAAGCTTCATTTAATACCATCTTGAGCAATTTGTAATTTCTTCAATAATGACTTGGAGACAACAGTTTGGATATCTCATAGCAACCGCAGAGATATAATAAACCCCTGAGGAACTTGTAAGACAAAATTAATTGTTCAAAATTCAGTTGATACTTCAGTAATAATCTTCTGTATAATTTGTAAAACACAATGTGTAAATTTAGATCCATGTTTGGCCCAGTTTTTATAATAGGCTTAAATATTTAGTATTTTATATTAAATCTAAATTTCTCCAGCGAAGTGTTTCAAGTTACAACTTCCTGAAGCAGGTAATTTAAAAGGAATTCGCAGTTACGTTCATTAAAATTCTAACAACATTCCATTCGTTTCTAACAGAGCAAAAACCAAGGATATGTGGATCGACTCGATCCCGCAACACGAGCGGAAAAAGCGTATTTTTCGGGAATCCCTTTCTTCGCTGGAAAATACCGCAGAGAAGCAAGATATCGTGTTTCTGTGGTCGCCGTTGGTCTTCCGCTTCAGTGTCCGATCCCGTGCATCGTATCAGTTTACAAAATTGTAGATAGTAGAATTACTGTGCTATGTTTTCATGGTGTAGATGATTGGAATTGTGGAGACGGATTTAGGACTTAGGCTCTGGAAGTTTGGGATTTTGGAATTAGGGGTTTGGGGATTTGGGGTGTTGGGTAGTGGAGAATTTCTAGTTTAAAGAATTTTACATTTTTCAAATTCCCATCGCTTCAAATTCCCAGCGCCCCAAATTCCCATCGCTCCAAATTCCCAGCGCCCCAAATTCCCATCGCTCCGAATTCCCATATCTCCAAATTCCCATCGCTCCAAATTCCCATCGCTCCAAATTCCCAGCACCCCAAATTCCCAGCACCCCAAATTCCCATCGCTCCGAATTCCCATATTTCCAAATTCCCATCGCTCCGAATTCCCATCGCTCCAAATTCCCAGCGCCCCAAATTCTCATCTCTCCAAATTCCCATCGCTCCAAATTCCCACATCCCCCAATTCCCACACCCTCCAATTCCCACACCCCCCAAATTACTAATTTCTCAAATTGCCATCTCCCCGAATTCCCATCTTCCCAAATTCCAGCGCCCCGAATTCCCACATCCCCAAATTACTAATTTCCCAAATTCCCATCTCTCCAAATTCCCATCTCCCCAAATTCTCACACCCCCAAATTCCCATCTCCCTAAATACCCACACCCCCAAATCTTCCACTGTCACCAATCTAAAATCATCACCACATCCCAACCTTGAAAAATATCAAGCAACATTAAAACCGTCCTCCTAAAAAAGTTTCCATAAAATTCACTCCACGATGAATTATTAATTTATTCATTCATTCCACGTATTATCCGCAACCATCTGTTCGATAAGTTAGATTCCTCATTACTAATCTTCTTAAAATTCTATTTTTCTCCCCGCACGTTCTTCGTACTCAATCCAAGTCCCACTTCGTAAAACTCCACGACTATTTCGCGTTTACATGAAGTCTACTAACGTTTCGATAGAAGAATTTTCCGAGCATCACACTTTCCAAGGAAACGAGGCACTCCACGGAATCGAAACGTTCCGTTTAATTTCCGATGAATCGTTCACGGAAGCACGAGCAAGGCTTCCTGTCTGTAAGAACAAAATGAAAGCCCGACACTTTCATCTCGCGAGTAGAATGGATTCTTCTAAAGTAATTAAGCGACTAACGGAGCTAACTTCTGCTATATATTTTACGTTCAACGTTATTCTTTTGGTGAAGCTTCTCTGATTGATATTTGCTGTTTCAACAGATTTTTTCAGGACAAGTTGATTCCTCTTTTGAAAGGAAAGGTTTTAAGCAGTTAGGTTAGATAAATCGATTTAGTTCTGTTGCTTGTCGTTCCTGATTTAGTTTCGTTTATTGATATAAGTCTTGAGTGTAGAGTTGATGATGATGTGTGGAAATGTTTGTTTAATGTGGTGATGAGAAAATTGGAAGAATGAGTTTCCAGTGATGGAGATCAATAATTATTGTACCGAGGGAAATCATGTGGTTGTGGGTATATGAGATGTTTGATTGGTTCTGAGAATTTGTTTATGGTTTGGTGTGCTTCAGTTTTGTTAATTACTTGGAAACATGATTCTAGAGATAGGAAATTTTTGGTTGAGCAATTTGGGGATTTGGGATTTGGGGATTTGGGGATTTAGAGATTTGGAGGTTTAGGGATTTAGGGATGTGATGATTTGGAGATGTGGAGATTTGGAGGTTTAGGGATTTGGGGATGTGAGGGTTTAGAGGTTTAGAGATTTGGAGATGTGGAGATTTGGAGGTTTAGGGATTTGGGGATGTGAGGATTTGGAGATTTAGGGATTTGGGGATGTGAGGATTTGGAAATTTAGGAATTTGAAGATGTGGAGATTTGGGGATGCGAGGATTTGGAGATTTAAAGATTTGGGAATGTGGAGATATGGAGATGTAGAGATTTGGGAATGTGGAGTTTTTACAGTTGTGAGGATTTGGGATTTTAGGGATTTGAGTATAGAATTTGTGGACTTAGAAGTTTACTGATATGAGATTGCTAGAATTGTGGATTTGAGAATTTAGGTATGTGAAGATATAAGAATTTCTGAATTTACTGAAATAATCAAACTAATGATATAATGCCACTGATAACTTAGTTTACTGATACAAAACTTTGTGAATTCCAGAATTTGAAGATGTGGTGTATATTTGAACATTCGATGATCTCCCTTAAAAGCCATCTATCTATGCCCTCTCCAGGCTCTCCCTAAACTAAGGTCCTTCCCAGGATCTCCCACAGCTCTCCACAAATTTTCTCTTCATCAGAATACAAAATTTCTCTCCGTCACGATGAAAAATTCGTGCGATATTGGTGTTGAATATCGTTGAAAGCCAGTGTAGATTAGCGAATTTGATCGAGTCGGCGTCGCGGAGTCTCGAGGAGGCAGTGCTCTCGAGTGAAAAGAGACCGCGGTAGCAATCACGTCCCATTGCGATTAAATGTAATCTTCTAATAATGTGTCAACTGGCAGCCACAACAGCATAATTCGCCAAAGGGGGGCTCCCGGGGAGAGGCAAAATGAAGAGCAGAATAGAGATCGAAAGAAGACAGGCGAGAGGAACGGGATGGAAACGAAAGAGAAGGAAGCACAGAGTATATGCAATGGAGTTCTCGCGATATTCTTCGAGATGTTGCATCAGTCGACAGTTTTTTACTTTTCTTCGACGTTCGCTAACGAATCTGCCAAGGACAGCCTGGCCAGACAGTCGAATCTCGTTCCTTCATCAAAACCTTTCATTATACTTTCAAAATTCATTAATTTCTTGCGAAAAATGGATCTCAAAAAAGAGTAGACTTAAAGTCTAGAAGCGGTGAAATTAAAATAGAATTATTGTTAAACTTTGTAAGCTATTTTTTATACTGATGCGAACACTTTTGTACTGATGTAAACTTTTTGAAATTGGCGCCAAACTATAGGCAATAAGTCTAAGCAATGATATTAAAGTAAAATTGTTAAACTTTGTAAGTAATTTCTTGTACTGATGCAAACACTTTTTCTACGAATGTAAACTTTTTGAAATTGGCGCCAAACTATAAGCAATAATATTAAAACCGAACTATTAAACTTTGTAAGCAATTTCTTATTCTAATGCAAACACTTTTTCTACGAATGTAAACATTTTAAAATTGGCGCCAAATTGAAAAAGTTACCTAACAAGTTTGCGATTAATTACCTCGTTAATTGAGATCCAGAATTTCAAGGTTCACTTTAAACACTGTAAGCGTGTATAACGGAGTCATTATAGTGGGGCAGAGCAGAAACGCAAAATATACGGCAGATTGCGTCAGAAATTTTCGACATCGTTCATGAAAGCAATTGGTTAACAATTGACACAACAATGTTGACAGCTGCTTAAATTGCGTTTGTGTTAATCTGACTATAAGAACGGGTAAAAATAAAGAACGGCTGTGAAGATTGTAGAAAACATATTAGGTATCGATCCTTAAGGATGCTACCTTGGCTCGGTTGGATAAATCGTTGGCAAGGTAGCAGGTCGATAACCATCCAGGTTGTATAGCACCCTCAGTCGTCATGGTTCGTTGGACTGGTGCCAGTTAGTCTGAAACGTTGAGGCTACCGTATGCAACCGGTTACCTGAATTAAAATGTTGGTAAACGTTAGTGTTATCGATCTGCCTGTTGTGGTTTGGAAATGACCGATACCTGATACGATGATAGGAAGGCTGGGACATCCGATGGTCTTTTATTAAAATAAAAGAATATGTTGTAGAAATTATTTTGTAATATTTAGGTAGTTTAGGGCTGGTCAGAATGTGTTGAAGGGTGGTGAGGCATGAGTTAGGACATGTAGACATTAATTTTAGATACTTTAGGGTTTTAGTTATGTATGAATTGTTACACTTTCAAGTTTGTAGATTTTGGAATTTATATTTGTAAGTTTAGAGGTCTGCAAGTTTATACATTTATATGTTTGTACATTTATATATTTATACATTTATATATTTATACATTTATGTATTTATACATTTATACATTTATGTATTTATACATTTATGTATTTATGCATTTATATATTTATACATTTATATATTTATACATTTATATATTTATACATTTATATATTTGTATATTTATACATTTATGCATTTATATATTCATATATTTATATATATTTAAATGTACATACATTTATGAACAATTTTTAATGAAATTTTTAATGAATATTTATATTTATATATTCATATTAAATATTCATAAATTTACTAGTTTACCAAATGACCAATTAACAAATGTACAAACCATAAATACAAAAAACATAATTAGTACAAATGCCTCTCATAATCTCGTAACCAAGTAGCAAGGTAAATAAAGCGTTATCAGCACAGTGCCGGCAGAGTAAAATATTGACTCTAATCTCGTAATATATATTGAATTAATTACCGCAACTGAACGATGCTAATTACAAGATGTAAGATCTGCTCGGTATCGCAATTAACATTCGTTAACCTTTCGGTATCACGGTGACCGAAATAAAATATACGGGAAAGTTTAATTGATAGTCGCGTGCCATCGTTGCGTGTCACCTGAACGAGAATGACACTCGAATGATCTAATCTATCTTGTCCGGGAAGGAATGACAAACGCGATCACGTTGATAGGTTTCCCCGGCTCATTCCAGCGGCTAATGAATCTAATTAACTTGTGCGTACATTGATTAGTCTTGGTTTCTTAACTTATAATCATTTTTCTTATTATATTCATTCACTAGTCACTTATTATATTCGTTCACTATTCACTTATTATATTCATTCACTATTCACTTATTATATTCATTCTAACTTTACATTATTTATTATTAGTTGAGCAATTAATTTAATTAGAACATGTAGACTGATAATTATATTAAATAGTTATTCTTGATTTTTACTGATTCTGTACGTCGTATATTGCTGACATAGTTAACTCCGACAATTTAGTGTAAAAATTAATTAATAGATTTTGTTGACGCGTTTGTCTAGGCATCTTGGCGTTCATCAACTGCTGGGACGTAAAATGGGCGACGAGGGTGCAAGACATCTTCACGTACGCGAAACTACTCGCGCTCTTCATCATCATTTTCACCGGAGCTTACCAGCTGTTCACCGGTGAGTTTAACTTCTACATTTTCACCTTCATCAACAATTTTATACCTGCACATTATCTAGCTTTCTAAACTAAATACATTATTATTTAAAGATAAACCAGGAACATTATAATTTAAAGATGAATTGTGAACATTATTATTCAGAGATGAACTATGAAAATTACTATTTAAAAATGATATAGATACATTTACACACATCAACCTATATAAAAGTCTACTAAGCTAAAGAATTAGATTTCCAGATAACAGTACATTAAATCTCCCTCGTGAGTAACCACAACAAGGGGTTAATTAAAGCATGCGGGTGGCCACACAGGTCACTGCACCCCAATAGCTGCTGATACTCCTTGATATTTATAAAATATTATTCTTGTCAAATGTTCCTAACACTCGAGCGTATGTTTTAAAAAATTCTTGCTCGAAGGACAAAAAGAACTTTCTCTTCCGTGTAAATGTTTCTTGTCCAAGTTGTCGATCATCGAAATATAAGATTGTTTCTGCCATGTCATTTTTACTAGACCCGACAAAGAAAGCGTGGAACTAAACGTTTTATAGATCGAAGGTCCGAGAGATATTAATGGTGGTCGATCGCCTTTGATGTCGAAAGTTATTTCACGTTTTTATACACAGTACGTGAGTGTTTTTCGACAAGTTCTAGGTTTCTAATCTGCTTTTTGATCTTGCTCGATTTTCACCATGGAAAATTGATTTCTTGATGGGTTATTTATAGTTCGAATAAATCAGAGTCACTTCAGTTTATTTCAAATTGAAGTTTAAGTACTTGTTGTTTATTGAGATTGAAATTATTTCTTGTAAAAATGAAGGCAACTTCTATAAAGTTTAAGAAATTACTTGTTTTTTATTGAAATTGATATTGAAATTATTTTTTGTAAAGTTAAAAACAACTTCTATAAAGTTTAAGAAATTACTTGTTGCTTATTGAAATTAAAATAGAAATTATTTTTTGTGCAGATAAAAACAACTCCTATAAAGTTTAAGAAATTACTTGCTGCTTATTGAAATTAAAATAGAAATTATTTTTTGTCCAAATAAAAACAACTTCCATAAAGTTTAAGAAATCACTTGTTGCTTATTGAAATTAAAATAGAAATTATTTTGTGTAAAGATAAAAAAAACAACCTAACTCAGAACAGAAAGTTTCAAAGTTTTCCGATTCGCTCCTATAACACAGTATGAATAAAAAATGTAATTTTCAAATGGACCGAGATCGAATTTACGGAGAAGAAATGGTAAAGTGAATTCCAGTTAGTTTTCTGTGTCAAGTGTCCCTGGTGTTTATTAGAAAGGCAATGAAAACGTCTCGTGCAAGAACGAGGAAGCTCGCGTTATAATGTTTCACCACCCACGCCCACCCTTGAAGCAGTATAAGACTGTTAGGCGTCTTTTCACTTGCCGGACGAGACAATTTGCCCAATCAAAAAGGTGGGTTAAAGACGCTGGCGATTTGAAGTGTGTACGATGTTCGTACACACCGAGGAATCGCTTGAATTGACCTATTCAATCGTTCAAATGCCTCTCTTCTTCTGCTGAGCTTCGACGTGAGAACCATTTTTTAATACATTCATGTGACGGACTAATGCAAGTCTAGTAAGCGACTTTTTTTAATGTTGATATTCAAGTTTTTAGATTTTTAGGTTGCTGTACTCATAGATCTCTAGGTACCTAGTTAGTTACTTTCCCAGATTTATGGATTCTTGGATTTATGTGTTCTTGGATCTCTAGATTTTTAGGTTTCTATACTTTGAGATCACTAAATATTTAGATTTCTATGTTCTTAAATTTCTACATCCACAAAGTCCTATATCTTCAAGTCTGTATATTTTACATTCTTACATTGCTAAACCCTTAAATTTCTACATCCACGTCATGTGACGGACTAATGCAAGTCTAGTAAGCGACTTTTTTTAATGTTGATATTCAAGTTTTTAGATTTTTAGGTTGCTGTACTCATAGATCTCTAGGTACCTAGTTAGTTACTTTCCCAGATTTATGGATTCTTGGATTTATGTGTTCTTGGATCTCTAGATTTTTAGGTTTCTATACTTTGAGATCACTAAATATTTAGATTTCTATGTTCTTAAATTTCTACATCCACAGAGTCCTATACCTTCAAGTCTGTATATTTTACATTCTTACATTGCCAAACCCTTAAATTTCTACATCCACAAAGTCCTACACCTTCAAGTCTGTATATTTTACATTCTTATACATCTATAAAATCTTATACTATTAAGTCTACATATCAAACTTTTTCACCTTCCTAAATTTCCTTACATAAATAATTAACAGAAACCCGTATACACGAAATTATCTCCGTCAGCACGAACGAGTTTCACAATTCTTTCCCGCGAAACAGATTTTATGCTGCGGCTTTGTTTTTGCCCTCACGTTATGAAAGATATTGCGAAAGGAAACGACAAGTGCATTCCTACAAATGTTTCGCGTGTTTGATCGATTATTTTTATTCCATGTTGCAGGACACACGCAGTATTTCACATTCGACAACACGAACACAGAAGTGACGTCGATAGCACTCAGCTTTTATTCGGGACTGTTCGCTTACAATGGCTGGAACTACTTGAATTTCATCATCGAAGAGTTGAAGGATCCTGTCAAGTAAGCAGTCAGGCGGCCATTTTGTAGGACACTGAAAAAAGAACGGACCTCGTATTTTTTTTTCTATAATACTTATTGCCTTTTATAATACTTATTCCCTTCTGTAATTAAATTTATAATCTACGTTGTTTATAATTACTGTATAACATGAAAAGTTATATGATGTAAAAGTTATATGATGTTGAGTCACCCAAAAAGTTTGTAAGCGTTCAAATCATGCTATTTAGCAATACCATTTAGTAACACTCGATGTAAGATAAGTTTGAGACCACGTGTCAATGATTCATGTACCAATTTTCAAATACCAACTGTTCGTGTCGATAGTTCGTAAGAGAGACAATCTCTGCTGAGATCTCTAGTATTACAACACGCTTTAATTAAAAAAGAAGGGTCGCCCGCCCTCGTTAACTTCGACACGAGGTCAATCACTCTCTGTCCCTTTGATTTTTGAAACTCTTTGTCAATCCCGCTGAACTCATTCTTCCGACGTTACTCATCTTCTCACAACGTTCTTGTTTCAGAAATTTACCAAAGGCCATTGCAATCTCCTGCGTGCTGGTCACTGTAGTCTACGTTTTTGCAAACATGGCCTTCTATACTACATTGAGTCCTGTTGAGGTTTTGGGAAGCGAGGCTGTCGCTGTGGTAAATAAATTAAATTAATTAATAATAGATTAACTGTAAGAGAAGCTTGTATGTATTACTAATTACTTAAACAACAATTCCAGACGTTCGCCAATCGTTTATTCGGCGTATTCTCCTGGACGATCCCAGTGTTCGTGGCTCTCTCAACATTCGGTGCCGTAAACGGAATTCTTTTAACTTCCTCGAGACTCTTCTACGCCGGAGCCTGCGAGGGTCAGATGCCTGAGATATTAACCATGATCCAAACTTCGAGGCTCACCCCGACACCCGCTGTTCTCTGCATGGTACAATAATTTCAACACCTCGGAAATTGCCTCTTTAGAAAAAGATTCGTTTAAAGAATGGTATTTGTCGCTGCAAGAAATAGGAATTCACCTGTTGAGAATCCTGAAGATTTTCTTTTATACCGTTAGTTGAATTTGAGTTTTCTCGAGTCGGGAATGTACATAGTTTTCTGGATCACTGAACGGGTCCAGATGTTACTATGTCCAGATTGCGATTTAGAATGTTCCGGACAATCGAGACGGAAGTGACAATTGCGAGCATTAATTGGAGTGTTGGTGTTTCAGGCGCTGCTGTCCATGTTGTACCTCTGCTCCTCCGATATTTTCGCTCTGATCAACTACGTGGGTTTCGCTACCTGGGTACGTACCGTTCCAGAAATTAACTACCCTCCAAGAAGTCGGAGGGTAATTCTGTTGGATAATTTTGTCAATTACAATTATATTCAATTACAATAATTGGGCACCATAGATTCGTAATAAATGTGTTTATCTATTTCCTCAAGCAAAATAGAAAAGTGATCATTAAATTTCCAAGAAAATAAACTTGCCTTGACACGGTGTTCTATTGTCTGTTCAACTGTAAAAATGAAATCGCATAATTGACCGTCATTATGTTCCAAGAAACACAATGGACATTGTACACAGGCCAGGATACAAGAACGAATACCTGCAACGAATTATTAGCCCAACCGGACGAGTGATAATTCTCTAATTGACTCATACTGTCCGGTGTAATTGACAGTATTGTCCGACTTTATAGCCGGACATAAGCGTGTCCACCTTATTGCGTCTCGTCGTTTCGAATCTGAAAAATGATACAGCGCTTTTTGTATATAGAGTAACTAGAATTTGGAAATGTCTTTGCTATTAAGTTTGAGAATTTAAATTAATACTACTATCCATGTAAAATTCATTGACATACTAGTGTTGATAGTAATTGACAGTATTAAAAAGATATTTGTTAACCATTAAGTATTAAAGAACTACATTTGGATGTACAACAATAAAGATATAAAAATATCTTACATGTGTTCACAGTTGAGCATAGGAGTCTCAGTATTATGCCTGCCATGGCTCAGATGGACTCAACCAAACCTACTCAGGCCCATTAAAGTGAATCTCTTTTTCCCAATCATCTACATTCTTGCCACCCTTTTTGTAACCATAGTTCCAATGTACGCCAGTCCTGTGGAGACAGGTAAGATTTCTTGAAAATTTAACTTGAAACAAGAAAACAACAAATCTGAATCCTCTTTTCTTTTTCCAGGATACGGTTGTCTCATGATATTCTCATCCATACCTGTGTACTTTATATTTATCTCGTGGAAAAACAAGCCAAAATTCTTCCAAAAAGGAGTCAGTAAGTGGACAATATTCCTGCAACAATAAATACTCGTCAGGGAACTCAAGGATAATTTTTTGATCAAATCTTTTATGTTCATGCAGTCAGAATTGAACAGATTTTGTTTTATAGTTTCGTTAAAGATTCGAAAAGTTTTTTACTATAATTTATTAAAGAGAATACGTTCCTTTTTGTTCAGTTTTTCGTTAACATTAAATGTGTTCCCGCAGGCGCCGTTACCAAAACTTTGCAGAAGCTGATGGTAGTCGTCGGACCAAAGACTAAGGTTCAGAAAACACACTAACATAATTTTACTCTTGTCATGTCACGCATGCTTAGCATTTCTCATCAAGAAAAATATCAATGTTTCTTTCTTCTTTTAATTTGATATTGTTTCATTTTGCTATATTCGAACGCTTCCACGTTTCGTGATCCGGAATAATGAGTGTCCATCTTTTTGTTTGCAAAAGCATTGTTCAAGTTTGATTTTGCATGATGCACCCACATCACCAGCACCACACACACTAACTCGTACAGTTGTTTCACGCGGTGCACCAGTAAAAGTTGTGACTAACGTAATCTTTGGTATTATGTATAAAGTTGTGATAACTATGATTATGATGTCAACTGATGATTCAATAGATACTTATTTGTAAGAAATTTATATTTAAAAACATTGGATAGTTAATTTTAAATGTATCAGTCTGTAAGTTTAGTTTCTCTTTTGGTATCTTTTAAGATATCCTTGAAATATGTTTGCAAAGAATATTCTTGTATGGTTGTCCTTGGAAATTCCTTCCAATCTTGAGACTTCTTTAGAACCTCATAATCTTCTCCTTGAACTAATACAAAAAAAGAAGGAAAATATCTATTGCATCATAGTGTAACTATCACAAGAATTGAATCAGAAGATTCACCTGAAGCTATAAATTTTAATATGTGAATGAACCAAAAATAATTGAAACAATTACTTGTTGCAGTAAGCGTCACGAAGTTCCTGCAAAAGATAATGCTGGTCGTCGGCAAATCGAAACCCGCTCAGGTTTAATCAGTCAGAATGGCTCCACGGCATCCACGGAGGTGACTTCCGGTACCAAGACAACGACAAACGAAGCAAAGTTTCTGCAACACTCGTAGAACCTCAAGCTCGTTTCGTTCAAACTAAAGAACAATTTGCAACTCGTGGAGTCTCCAACGAGTCAAATTGATAAACGATTCATAACAAATATGAATCAGACTGGTAGATAAATTATAAGTAGATATCTCGAAATGGATCTTACCGACGAGTATTCAGTAGTTTGAATTTCTTATGAGACTGTTTGAATCCGAAACGAGCGATCCACGAGTGTGCCTGCCAAAAGACAGCCATATTTTGGAGCAGGATACCTCAGAAACGAAGCAGCACGGAAGTTCTCTCTTGCCTGGATATCATCTGCGTTGACATCAAGATTCTCGCGAGATCATATCATGCTCGTGATTCCAGCGGAGGTGTAATATAGTGTTCAGAGAGTTGTGATCGTTTACAGTAATGATTCTGACTGTAGAATGACTAGTAACTACTATTTAATAATGTGGAAAATTAAAAATTTGAAGATTCAGAGATTTGGAAAAAAGAGTATAACAATGTAGAAGAATTTTTGACTGAATTATTTTCTGAAATGAAGCAAAGAATCTATACTGTAAACTATAACCAATGTATCTAAATCATCCTGTAGATAGAGAGGTACCCACAAGTTTCCAGAATTACAAGAATATTTTTTTGAATATTTTCTTTTTCCATAACAATTCCACAAACTTTTGGGTACATCGGATCACGAATGTAAAATAACAAAAAAGTAAACAAAATCTAATAAAAAAAGTGCAGTGTATTGGCCTCCGTTGGAGACGCGACGTGTTCGATTCTTTGTAACGATTTGAACGTATGTATGTATTTTTGTTCATTCCACGCTTATATCATTTCCATTCGCGCGATTCGAACCTTTTCCTCTTCATAGGCGTCGATAGCTATCCCATTAAAAATCGTCAGCGATAATTTATTGTATCTTGTCGTTTCACGAAAGACATTTTCGAATGATTTTCGAGAACTTCATCAAACACTGTATTCACGTTTTACTGCCACCGTACAATAGTAAGCTCTTTCAGAATCAATCTTAACAATTTGCCAACTGTGCTTTTATGTCAATTTTAATAGAAAATTTTTAATGGTAGTAGATTTTAATTTTAAATAGTAATGCATTTCAATTTTAAATACTAGTGGACGCAACATAATTTGAGAATCATATCTACAATATAGCGTGGCAATATAACAAGAGTCTATCATTAAATTTAAATTACTCATCAGGGTTTTACCAGTTGGCAAAGTGTTAAACCCACCGAGCGATTCGTTGATTAAAAAAGTTTGAAGAAAAACCGTCTGCGACCACAATTCTTGATTCTCAGAACTTTTTTAAGCGAGCAACAGTTTTAGGATGACTTTATTCGTATCTCGAGCCTGTTTCTTTTTATTTGTATTCATTCATTCCTTCGCAAATGTATGCATGCGTTTGATGAGTGCGTTTATTGTTGCATGCACAGGTTTGATAAAAATTCGCGTTACGAATTTTTATCTTCAACTGATAGGATAGAGTCGGATTCATGTTTAACATTAAGCGATTTTTATATCCTTTTGTTTATATTGATCAGCGAAGACGATTAAAGGAAGGCAATTTTAGGTTGCCTTGATTCTATAATCATTGAGTTCACTGTTTTATGGCAAGGTCCATCATTCGGTAGCAATTTAGCAGATATACAGTGTATAAAAAAGCACATCTCACTTCTTTGTCAGTGTACAAATATACACTGTATAATTATGCTTCATTGCTAACATTTGTAGAATTTTTTTTAGAACATTGGTCCAGAAATTTTATGATGCATTTTAGTCCAAAATGGATCTCTGACCGTCATGACGTACAGCGACTCACGTATTTGTTCATATATTTTCTTTCCAGCGTAGTTATAAATTTTTCGTATTTATATATAGTTTGATGTCTCGCGTGAACAAATGTGTGAGTACCTGTAGCGAAGGAAATATAGTTACGACACATTTTCTATACGTTTTGAATTCTACTAATTCTTAAGAAGAATGTGTCACCTTCATCAATTTTCAAATTCAAAATATCGCGTATTGTCGATGACAAGCGAAGTGAAAATTTCAGCATATCTTTAGCGAATTCAGGACCAAAATTTTCTATCGTATTTTAATTAAAATGGAAAAATGTTGCGTCCACGAGGATGAAATTTATTTTATTGTCAGGAGTTCGTTTTGATCGGTCTGAACTGTGCAGGGTGGACAGAAAATTGTTGCTATTTATGCAATATATTGGGAGGAATACGATATTCTGATCTCTGACGTTGTGTACAATTTTTTTTGTATTATAATTTATTTCTGAAAAAAGGAAATTATGTTACTTTTTATATATGATTTATATAAATCATATTTTTAGATGAAATAGCAAGGAGATTCTAATGTAACTTTTAATACAAATTCTGTAGAGAAAAATGCGAGCTATTGTAGTTATTTTTCTGTTCACTCTGTACATTTCATCAGACAAATATCAAAAGACTTAAAAATTCGAAATTCGACAAACCGCTGATCGCTCAACTTTTTTTTCAAATCAGCGTTCGTCGAACTTCGTGGAATCCATATCGACCGACTGAACCAGACAATACTTTCTTTTAATTGCACAATTAAAAAACGGAAGGACGTACCGCCTATTAAATTCAGCTTTTGCAATTGTACTTGCATCACGAACATTCGCGAGACTTAGATCAGGGTGATTATCGATGCGAGAACTATTCGATCAAAAGATTAGTTTTTATTATAAGAATAAATTCGCAGAGAAACTTTAGAATAATTTCATTTCGTAAATGTATATATTTAAGAAATAGAGTGGCTAGAGAATTCGAAAATTATATTTTTACATCGCGTGCGTCGATAAGGCACTCTGATACACGTGACAATAATCCACTGATACTAATTAATTAGCGAAGATTAGGTAAGATAGAGAAATCATGAAGGAATTATTAGAATTCGAACGTGTTTTGTATTATTCCGTTTTTCTCTTTTTTTACGTTCAAGCGATTTTTGCGGAGAGGAAACGCGAAAGAGGAAAAGAAAGATACAAGATGGAGGTTTGGACAATTGAGTATTTGCGTGGATAGTGGTTGCAATGTTTCTTTTTCTAAATTTCTACATTGATACTCAATTATTATATTACGTATGTATATGTAGTATGTGTATGTAGTATGTATATGATGTATGTATATGACGTATGTATATGTAGTATGTATATGTAGTATGTATATTTCATATGTATACTACGTTTGTATATGTAGTATGTATATGACGTATGTATATTACGTATGTATATTTCATATGTATACTACGTATGTGTACAACGTATGTATATGACATATGTATGCGACGTATGTATATTTCATATGTATACAACGTATGTACATGATGTATGTATGTTACGTATGTATATTTCATATGTATACTACGTTTGTATATGTAGTATGTATATGACGTATGTATATTTCATATGTATACTACGTTTGTATATGTAGTATGTATATGACGTATGTATATTTCTTATGTATACTACGTATGTGTACAACGTATGTATATGATGTATGTATGTTACGTATGTATATTTCATATGTATACGACGTTTGTATATGACGTATGTATATGTAGTATGTATGTTACGTATGTATACAGGGTGTCTCACAACTAATAGGTCCCTGAAAAGATCCACAGCTGACGTGATTCTGAATAAGATTTCCCACACCCCTCATTTCAGGGACCTACCACTTGTGAAACACTCTGTACACTTCAACCTAAAAGAACCCTCTCTTGAGGAAACGTTCCGAGCGGATTAAAAGTACAACAAAAAATCGAACAAAACTCGCAAGAAACATTGCAATCATTCCCACGCAAACGAAATGTATTCTCATTGAATTAGAATCGAAAATGGGGTGAGAAAATGCAGTAGCTTAGGACCTAAACGAGTCGGACAAGGAAACATGGGACAAGCAAAACTGTGACAATATATTATATTGTATAATATGTGTGTTACTTCCCCTTCTCCTCAACTTGTAAAATATATTTCTGTGAAGTAAATCAAGCATCTCGGCAATGAGAAAAAGAAAAGAATAATCGGTGAATTTTATTTCTAAGATTATCAAAATCTTTCGGTACAATAAAAAAATCTATATATTTCGATGGAAGGTTTTCAACATATATTTCGTTTTGATTGGAAAAATTTTATCGAAGACAATATCTTGTTTCGTAAGGACCGCACGAATTGGCAATAAATAATTTAAAGTCTTGGTTACATACGCGTCTATATTTTGTATGTATAAACATATATAAGTTATAAATATATGACGGTACAAATATTTATAACTTATACACAAATATGTGTGTATATATATGTATATAAATATATTATACATGATATATATATATAATATATTTATAAATCTGTCCACAGCGGTTGTACAACATACACAGAGATTACAAAAGAAACGAAATTTCATTTGGCTTCGTCGGTGTATCAGGAACAAAAATTTGCTTTCTCTTCTCGTTCCGTTTCCTTCAAATTTTCACGAGACGAAAAGAGAAAGAAAATGTATAAAAAAAAAAGAAACCAGTTTTGGAACGGATTTTCCAGCGCGATCTCGGTTCGACGCTTTTTCGTTTATTATCGATATGAAAATTTGCGCTGTCGTTTTGAGCGTTTTTGTTTCTTTTAAAATTAAAGTTAAATAAGAGCATCTTAAATCTCCTTAATTCGTTGATTCGATAAATTGACGATAAATTACAAAAATTTCGTCCTACGATTAATACAATTATTAAATAAATTAATTTAGATACTACATAGATTATTCTTAACAAAAAAAAAGTTTCGAAACTCGTTTTACACGAATTTAGATTATTATCGAGATTCGTAGTCTAAAAAAAGACACCGTCTTTTCCACGATGCCTCAACAGAACGCGATAAAAATCAGATACTTTGAGCTACACACGTTTCGTTGATTGCGCTAATTAGGCTCTGAAGTTTGCGAAGGAAACCGAGAAAGTCGTCGCTGGAGCGCAGACTTAAAAAACGGTGAAACTATATCGACGATCTATGCTAAGAGTTACTTTAACTGGCCTCGATCCAACGAGGGGTACAATCAAACCCGAGTGCAAATAGTATTTGAAATACAGAAGAGAATAGTCAGAGTCGTTTACTAGTTTAAGGTTTCAGAAGAATATATAAGAACATTGTATTGCATTGGTCACTTGTTTTACATGGTGCAGTTTATTTAACTCGATGAGTACTCGACGCGATACAATTTCACTCAATCTAGCACCCAGTTATTCAATTTGGCGCGAAGATGTACGATTCGATTCGACACGTCCCGACTTTTTATTAATTTGACGCCTCAACTCGGTAGTAATTCAAATTGATACGCTTTAACTCGGTATTCATTTAATTCGACAGTTTCTAACTCGGTAAACTTCAGTACGACACGTCCCGACTCGGTAATCTTCGATACGGTACGCCCCAACTCGGTAAACTTCGGTACGACACGCCCGAACTCGGTAAAATCAGAATCGACACGCCCCAACTCGGTAATCTTCGATACGGTACGCCCCCCAACTCGGTAATCTTCGATACGGTACGCCTCCCAACTCGGTACACTTCGATACGACACGCCCCAACTCGGTAAACTTCAGTACGACACGCCCCAACTCGGTAAAATCGGAATCGACACGCCCCAACTCGGTACACTTCGATACGACACGCCCCAACTCGGTAATCTTCG